AAAATTCTTCACCCTGTTCACGGTAGGATTGAGTGAATAAACTTAATTGGCGGATGCGCGCGCTGCAAGTTAGCGAACGAGAAAGGGATGTTCACTTCACATCAGTTTGTCAATCAGTCATCCTCGTTATGTCCACGACGTTCATCGTTCAGGCTTCAAATTCTACCGGGATACACAACTGTTTCACAATAGAAGCTAAGGTGGGTGATTTTTATATGCCATCTAGAGAAAGGGGAGTACAAAGGAGAGTTTAAGAGGACTTAATTTCACACGTGACGTAATTTGCATATTTGTACTCAACAGTGATTGAAATTATGTCGGTCGGTATTTCCGCGATAGTTTCTAGCCACGTAATCTGGATAAAATAAACAGTTTTTTTTTTCGATATTGGAAATGAAAATTGAGTTCCTATGTTCTGGGTGATTTCCAAAATACTTTGATTTGGAAAAAAGAAATCGAGTGCGTGTTATGAAGAATGTTTACAATTTAACAACAAAATCAAGATTTTTCCAGAAATCACGTATCAACATTTTTTAAACATGTCTTAAGACGAAGGGTATTTGTACCATATAAACAAGAAACATGGAAATGACTTTATTTAGACGACAGGAATAGTTTTTTTCATTTCTCTCAATTAACATCTACCGTATTCCCTAAACGGACTGGGCCTCAGCAATGGCTAAATTGTTCAGACTGTCACTGGTGCTATATTTTTTTATATATCCACCGTTAAATTTCCCCTATTTTTTCATTGAGGGAATCAATTATTCAATAAACAAGCTGTGTTCAGGGTAATCGAGACAACAATGGAGATATCAGCCTCCTAATTTGCAGTAAATTTGCGGCTATTTAAAGCGATGTAAACACAACTTCGAGTTTCTTGGCCGTTGGTCGTTCAAACTTATCATTTTCCGGATTTATTTTAATAAATAAGACAAAGAAGAATAGTTCTTTATGTCTGTTACAAGAATTGTCGAGAACTTACGATGGCAGGATCAGGATTGAAGTAACAAGAACTCCTTCGATCCGCCATATTGGCGGGTCGCCAAGGTCACTCGAAATCGGCTTTCTCGATATTTTCCAAAGTAAAAAGAATTGGAACTTTTCAACATCCATTTCGCTGTTAGGACTCTTAAACAAGACTGCAAGCCAAATCTCAGCAAAATCGGCGAGGTACCGTGGCCGCGACCTTTTTATATAGCTCGAAAATAACTGAGTATGACTCTTAAATTACTTTTTTGTCAAGACAGTACAAAGTTTCATCTGTTATCTTCCCTTTGTTTTATTGACAACTAACAAATAACAGTTGGTTATTGAACTTATTCAAGATAAATCATACATGATCAAAAAACTCATTCGGTTCTGCCAATGCTATGTTAATAGAATTACTACTGTTTACTGCACTTATAGACGACTGACGAGATTCGGAAAGTCTATCGTGCAATGGGTTTAACTCCGATTAAATTACTTATGAAATATGTCATAAAGGTCTTTATCCTCCTTCTGGTCGGGCTCTCTGGGCAAGGAACTGTGGTATTCTCTTTTTTTCCGGGTGCATTCACCATAACAAGTGTTTACTTTACTAGAACATCCAGCCGCACATGTATGACTTCCACAGCTATCGAGGCAAGTGTCGGCGGCGTTATCGCAATTATTCAAACAGTCAGAGTATGTCTCAGAGAACGCAGTTCGCGTAAGGACAGCAACCAGGAGAATGAAACTTGCGACTTTGTAGTTCGCCATCTGTAAAAGCGAGGATGTGTAGACTAGTTTGAGTTCAGGTTTTCAGCACTAAATGGCATCATCAGTAGAGGTAAACACACACCACAAACCAACTTCACCACGGTGAATAATTTTTAATGAAGCAAAGAAAGATTATCACAAAATAATAACTCCTTAATTTTTGGCGCGAAATTTCAGTAGTAATTTATGTTTGATTTCACTTTGAAATTACAAAATTGCTGTGGGAATGTGTGAAGGGAAATTTTCTGGACACGATAAACAAGTCAAAAGCCTACGATTGTAAGTGTAATTTGTCACCCATGATATAAAAAGATTGTATAAAGTTTTGATATTAAAAGATTGTCAAGGTTGTATAAAGTTTCACCTGTTATCTTTCCTTTGCTTTATTAACACCTAACATGATATTACACTTGTTCCCTTCATAACCAAGTTGGTCACGGTCATTAAACTTACTTAAGACAAATTAAATAATCAGAAAACTCATCCGGTTCTGCCGATGCTATGTTAATAGAATTACATTAAATTGTTCGACCGCATTTCTAGACTAACGAGATTCGGAAAAGTATATGGTACATTAGGTTTAATTCCGATTAAATTACTTTTGAAATATGCCATGAAGGCTTTTGTCATCCTCAGGTCGCGCTCTCTGGGCAAGGAACTGTAGTATTTTCTCTTTGCTTGGAAGCATGTACCATAACAAGTCGATTTGGTTTTAGCACATTTAGCCGCACATGAGTGAGTTCCACAGCTATTGAGGCAAAATTGCGCGGCGTTATAGGAATTATTCAAACAGTCAGAGTGCGCAGTTCGAGAAAGGACGACAACCAGGAGTTAGAAAACTGCGACTTTGTAGCTCGCCATCTGTAAAAGCGAGGGTGTGTAGACTAGTTTGAGTTCAGGTTTTCAGCACTGAACGGCGTCATCAGCAGACGTAAATACACACCACTAACCAACTTCGCCACGGTGAATAGTTTTTAACGATGCAAGAAAGATTATCACAAAATAATAACTCCTTAATGTTTGGCCCGAAAATTCAGTGGTAACTTATGACTGATTTCACTGTGAAATTATAAAATTGCTGTGGGAATGGCCGTTAGGGGGAAATTTCTCGACATAATAAACAAGTCAAAAACCTATGATTGTGAGCGTAATTTGTCACCCATGATATTATCAAAGGGTGATCAAATGGTATACCCTTGAAATTAGGGAATACTTTCACTCGCGTTTTGTCCGAATTCTAATAATTTCCCTTGTCCTTAAAATCTGAACAAAGCGTGCGTGAAATTTATTCCTTATTTTCGCTTGCCACCATTTGATTACACATACAAACGGCTCAAACATTCCTTACTCTGAAAGTCGACTAATGAGCGAAGTATCATTTCTCAGGAATGATCTTTACACATCTTCACATAGCCTACAAAGCCGAATTAAATAAACTGAAAACTCTTCAAACGATTGTTGACAGATATCCTGACTTGGAAGAACTATTTGCACGACAATTTTTGGCTTAAGTCTGGCCTCGCGTATAAATTAGAAATTATTCGAGACACTTCCTATTCTAACGGTAATCGTCTGAAGCTTTGTTCGAAGATACGATTAGATTGCGAATATTTTACTTTGCGTTTTAAAAGCTTGTTAAACTAAACATCTTCATTATATTGAATGTTGCAGAACCCGAAAGACGCCGAATTTTCTCGTCGAGAACCTATCCTCCGGTCCTTCCAATCCGCACGATCAGTAAGCAATGTTGTTTGCATACATGTTTAGAAGCGGTCAATAGTTAACTACGAACAAATACGGAGTACCACGAGTCAATTGTCTGTGTATGGTACATGGAAACAAACTACATGGGCAAAGTTAATTCTCTGACTGACTCCAACTAAGCAGCACTCAACAGAATCACTGAATGCATTTAATGCATTTAATGCATACCTTGTTTACGAAAATTCCGGAACCGAAGACAGGAATTCTATTAAATGTCATCTTTACTCATTCGTCGCTGCCAGGAAGACTCGCCGATATTGATCAAACCCTTGTTGTGTACCTCCGAGACTTTGTTCGACTCTAACGGTTTTACACGCTTTCTCGAGCTCAGAAGGAAGTCATAAAAACTAATTTGGGGTGGACCGCCAAGACTTTGATCGACCCCAACGGCTTTACACGCTTTTTCGAGCTCAGGGGGAAGTCATAGCAACTAATTAAGGGTGGACCATTTGAATTTAGAGGGAGGGCTGGGTGATTTGGTATGGGCATGATTTTTTGATGGGGACCATTTTGAAATCCTCGCTACTGGAAAGTCCGACTTGCGTGGTAAAGTTAAAGAAACGCTATTGATCAGTGAATTAACACCCTCACAATGAAAACGTTGCCGCCGTGAGAAGCTCTTTCTTTATTAATTTCTACCGGAAGTATCTACTAACGGAAGTATTAATTTTGTTAATAATTTTTAGCCTGTCACCAGTGCCTCGCTTTATTTTTAAATTTATAACTTTTTGTTATAGTTATAGTTATAGTTATAACCGTCCTTTTTTAGACCGTGCGTAGTCTGTTTATGATGTTTGTAACCGCTGTTTGTTTTCTTTTCTTTTCAGTGTAAAAGACGTTTTTGACAAACTGAACGCGCGCGAATTTTTTGCGGCAGTGATTTTTTTTGGAGGGGGTGGGGGAAGAAATATGCCCCAAGGGTATTTTTTCAAATTTACCCAGCCCCCCCTAAAAACTCAAATGGTCCATCTCAGTAAGGTGGTCACCCATGCGTGTATGGTTGACGTGTCGACTCTCGAATGACGTCAATGAATGCGCTATACCCAGATCCTTTTTGAGCAGTTCTTCGACTCGGTAACGATTTTCATTCTGGTGATTTTTCAAGACTTTTAAATGACATAAGTAATTGCGGTGTCAACAAGAAGCAAATTTTTTTCTGGCATTATGATCAGAAAAATGTCAATTTCTTTTTGGATTGAAAATACTTTTTTTTTTTGCTGGGGGGGGGCGTTAATAGGCACTTTATAAACAGAACCGCAAATTACAAGTTAAAGCGGTTGAAATAGAGGAAAACGTCTTTTTTAATCGATTTATTACATGACTGAGAAAATTACTTCATCGGTATTGGCTGAGAGCAGGGCCAATTCATCGTTAATGTTTAATTTGTACGGCGCCAGCAGAGCCAGTTAACGCTTGCACGTTCGTAATTTTCTCAGTCATATATATAATAAATAAGTAATCGTATGAAAGCTTAAGCAATTAATGATTTACATTATTCGTGATATTCAAAGATTGGCTAGAGGTTCGTGCAATTTTGAGCGAATTTTCAAACTGATAATATATAGAAAACATGTACCGTGTTTCTATCGAGTTATAGAAACACGAGTGGAAGTTTGGGAGAACGAGAAATGCTGTGGGAACACGAGCCGCAGGCGAGTGTTTCCACAGCTTTTTCTATTTCTCCCAAACTTTCACGAGCCTGAGTGTTTCTATAACTCGATAGAAACACGGAGAACATGTTTTCTCTTTCCTTTAGAAAACACCGCGACGAAAAAAAGAGAAACAGCTTCTCTACTTTGATCATCAAAATGTAAATTCTCTTTGCTCCCACCATCAATACGTCAACAGCTCGTGCTAGTTCTGTGTTTCCATCGCGTTATAGATAGAAACACGATTTTTGACCAATCAGCGAGCCTATTTTCTTAGGACTGTTTTCTCACTCGTAAAGTAAATCTTAAATTACGCTCGCATTTATACGATTACCCATACTAATAGAAATGAATATTGTCATATTCGTTGTAATGAAATTTCCAGTTAAGTTCTTTTTAACCTGAAGTAAATAGCAAACCTTCAAGCAAAAGCCGGCAAAGCGAAGACATAACTATTAGATATAACTAAAATGAAATATGAAATAAATACATGCTCCAATTTATAAGCAATAATCGCACGGTAATATCTTTAAGATGTGCTTTAATTAAGTGAAAATGTCTATCCACTTGAGAAAAAAAAGACAGACACGGAAAATTAAGATTTTAGTGAGATATTTGAGCTAAAAGGGGTTTCTAAAAGTTTTGAGCCACTGAAGAACTTTCTTGGTTGTGCAAAACACCGCTTTAGGTTTGACAGCCGAAAGAGCTCGTGAAATTCACCGCGATCTGACCTCAGCTTGCACTTAAAGCTTCAATGGCCACAAAAACTTTGATTGATTCTTTTTTTGAATCTAAACTTCTGAGCTGTTTTAAATTTATAAGTTTCAACGCCTTTGACAGATCAAGAGATTATGACCGAGATCGTTTTCTCTTGGACAGATCTTTTTCAATTTGCCTGATTTCCTGTCTTATCAAGAGACTTTATTTTTAAAATCTCCCAATCCTTTCACTCTGGTCAAGCAAAGGGCGTTTCCAAATACGCTTTGAAATCCAGCGGAGATGTACACCATTTCTCTTAATTGTCGCCTTCTTTGGTTTGACTTTCACTGTAAATTGTTATCCATTCACTAACCTTGTGCTTAAAATTTGCGCTCTTTGAATTTTAGTTAGTCATAGTCTGAAGATGGTATAAAATAACACCAACAAAATTGTAAAACCATAACTTCTGTCAGTATTTTTTGCACACAGCGCAGTAACTCGCATGAACCTTTGCCCTACAAGAGTTCAGAGTATACGTTGTCTCTGGGTGTAACAGGCGTTTGACAATGCAAGGCCACTGCAAATTATTCATCCTTCGCTTGCTCTTAATATGCGCGTCTCTTCAATTCCTTGAAACTGATAGCTGTCGGAGAACGAGAACTACTCCCCTAAAATGTAATCTTGTCGAAAACGACGTGCTTTCAAAAGGTATTTCTGAAATGGCAAGGTTCCTTTCGCATGTTCAGTTACAAAAACAAATAAAATGAAACCACGTTACTTACTGAATACCTACCGATTTTAGCCCGTTTAACGAAGACTGAAGAAGAAAAAGAGGTAGAAGAAGAACTAGAAGGACTTTCAATCTGCAACTTTTCTGCAAGTATTGAAGCGTTTTAGAAAGTCCACTTTTATAAGCTGCTGAAATTAACTTAGACAAACAAGCTCCTCCTTAGCCTGGTGATAAACCACCTGCTCATGCAGAAACTCGAGCTTTTCCTATTTAAAAATCAGTCAAGTATTCAACCACGTTTTCATGTGTAAATAATGCATTATAATATATGCCAATGAATGTCCACACTTAAAGTCTTCCGCTGCAGGAAGACTTCCTTCTTCCTTGGCAGAACGTGTTTGACGCCCATACGAAGATCATCTCAATGATTATTTTCTTTTCTTTTTCGTTGCACTCTAAAGCATCGCCTTTGATCGTTTTTGTGCCAGCTGTTTTCGTCTTTATAAAAAATGAACCATATGGAATTCACTCAATCACTTGAAACGATCCGATCACTTAGGTACTCACTCAAGGCCACGTTTCGCAAAGAAAACATCGTAATATCGCGAGCTTAAAGGCCAAACACACTTCTTTGTCAAGTAAAGTGATGTCTTATTAATATGCAGTTCACTTCAAGGCGGTCAGAAGATTCGAAAAACGAAACATAGAAAACACAGAAATTGTCCTCTGTACTAGCATGCACTTGAGCATATGAGCGGTCCTGTGTTCAAATGTTGGGGGCTGGAAAGGTGAACATATTACTCGAACCAAAACGATATCTAATTGAAGTGCAGTTCGCTTCATTGAAGGCGGCCATAAGTCTGCAACCATGCGAAGATTTGAATAAAGAAACTTAGAAAACACTGAAAATTCACACAGTCTTCAACAGAATGAGCTGTGCTTGAGTAAATGAGTTCCGTGTTCTAATAACGCGAGCTGGAAGGGCGAACACATTATTGTAGTAAAGTGATATCTAATTAATGTGCAGATCGCTTCATTGAAGGCGACACGCAAAGATTCGAGTAAAGAAACATAGAAAACGCTAAAAATACAATCTTGGATGAAATGTTTTGAGTAAATGATTGCCGTGTGAACTTAAAGGGCGAACACAATACTCAGTGTAAACAGACGTGTAATCATACAGTTTGCTACAAGAAGGCTGCGATATTTGCAACTGTCTGATAAAAATAAATAAATAAATTTAATTACAATATTTAAAGAGGAAGCCACATCAACCTTGGTTTTCATGCAGGTCCTCTCTCTTGGTCAAATTGGAATTTGGAGATGTTGGTTTTTATGAAGGGAGGAAAACCGGAGAACCCGGAGAAAAAACCCTCGGAGCAAGTCAAGAACCAACAACAAACTCAACGCACATATATGGTACCGAGCCGGAATCGAACCAGGACCACGTTGTTGAGAGGGGAGAGTTCTCATCCTTGCTCCGTATCATTAAAAACAAAAACTCGATGATTCGGTATCAAACATGCCCACAAAGACATGAAATATGGTATTTCTAACAACTGAGCCTGCGAATTAGGCAGAAATGAATATTTTGTCGACACGTGATACGACAAGGCCTGGGCCTTAGGCCCGAACATCATGGGTAATGATGCAGTGATATATCAGGGGAAGTATAGCACGTAATATCCATCTAGGTCTTCAGAACCAGCCATTAACCCTTGGCTGTTGCCAAGTTTCTTTTTAGTTTTAAATTTTATTTTGTTTGAACTGTAAAGCCTCGTAGGATGGGCTGCTAACTGCTTGGAGTTTGGGCCATGGTTCTTACCCAGATTTCCTGTCGTATTTTTTCTAGCCTCCGAATAACCGTAGTAGTATCTTTGTAAGCGGTTGCTCAGCTCTATTAATCCTGACTTGTTGGAGTTGAGACGTCAGTGCCCTATACCCTATATTGAATGTGTAAGGTATTGTTTTATATGAGGATTGTATATGGTGCACGAGATACGAATGTATACATGTATGTATGCGTGTATGCTCAGGGTTATTTACGCCTCCGGTTGGTTCTCGGCAGGCATCCTAAAATAAACTTATTTGGTTTACGCTGCTGTGTTATTTGTTGTGAAGTGGAGACAGAATATAGTCTTCTAACTGTAAAAGTGTCTAAAAAAGAGATATACTAAAGGCTACCATATAACTATCCGCGTATAAGGGATACGATTGGCGGCGTTTAAAATGTCAGCAAAACAACAGTCGGTGATGTTACTGGGCAATTTATTCTAACTAAAGACCATGTAGGCTCCGAGATAAAACTGGGCAAAGGTTTTATTTATGTGTTGCTCAGCTGGTAAGTTGTAGTACATGAAAACATGGCAGTCTAGTAGCTGCTGATGTTGCCATTCGGCTTTTGCGAATTGTCATTAGCCGTTTTCGTGATTCTTACATGACTGAGTGATAAAGCTTCTTCCCAGCTGCTTGTAATGTGGTTTCGACGCCTTTAGAACTATAACTATTTTAGATAAACTACCTAAATTTAGCTGCGTCGGTTTAGAACTATACATGGCTGGCCAGGTGTAAAATATTCATTGTTTTGGCAAAGTTTTTTAAGGGAAGCTTTCGTATCGTTAATGACAATTTTGAGTAGTATAAGAGCAGACTTTGTTTTCAGTAGCTGTGGTCAAGGTGGAGGATGAAGTTCAATTAGCCCACAAGGGACATTTAATTTTAGGAAACATTTTTGAAAGACTAAATGAGGATGGCAGCAGGACACTGGCGCGAAGTTTCACTCGCTGTTTGTGTTTATTCTAGCTACTATCTCCATATTAGGAGAAGCCTAATGGGGCACGTGACCTCTTGATGTTAATAACGACCTGTTCCACAGCACAAGTAGATGAATGTTGAAAGAAGTTATTTGAAGAGAATATTTGTGATTTAAACCACTTGTTAGACTTAAAATGTGCTTCTGAGAGCAAAACCGTCATTCGTCAATCAATCTGTCAAACAAGGCATAAAATAATGAAAATGCAATGCTTGAATCAGTCAACTTGTTTCAAGCTGTAGTTAAAACGGTGATTCATAATCATTTTTCTCAAGTGAAATGCTCAGTACCTTATTCCTTTTTCTTGCTTTTATATATATTCGCGACCCCTGCTAAGATCATTTGTTAGAAGACATTTTCTTATAAATTGAAAAAAAAAAACACTTAACTATAGGGCAGTGTACTCGATTACGATTGGCTGAGAGCAGAATAAATCCAAATTGTACCCCGTAGGAATAATCTGTCACGACGTCATAATTCTTTGTTGAAAGTCCTTGATGAAACCAGCTGTCAAATTAAAACTCATTCTAAGTCTTATTCTTTCGCAATTTTCGTGAACGTGCTATAAAAAACCGCTCGTTATTAAAATTCTCTCTTGGCTCCGAGGCTTAGGAGAATAAAACAAAAGAAATTAATTATTCATCCCTCATCCTCAATGCGATTTCTTTTGTTTTATTCTCGCAAGCCTCGAAGCCATGGTAGAATTTTAATATATCGAAATTGGACTATTACTACTCGCAATCTTTTTAAAATTTTAAATTGCATTAGCCTAAAAGCACGTGCTATTTTGAGAAAGTTAAAAACATCACTCGTAACTACTAATTCCAAGTCGTACTTAAAATTGTACGATTTCCTATACAAAGAGAAAAAAAAACCCTTTTCTTCATATCACGTACACACTTGAAGCTCGATTATGTGCCGCACTTATATGCACTGTCAATGAGCAGATTCTATTACACTTTACACACCTTCTTGTTTCTCTGATAGCTCTTAGAACTGATCAATAGTGGGCGGCCTTCAAAATGTCAACCAAATATAAACCGAGGAAGTTGAAAATCTCATATCAAAGGAATCGTGTGTACACTACGTGAGCGGAAAAGTGACAAGATGAAACTTCTGGTACGACTCACTTAAATTAGTGTTAATATTTGTTTTATTTTCTTGAATTTGTATTCAGAGAGGTGCTATTCAATAACTAGTTTAATGCAAATTACGAACGAGCGTTTCCGTATGGTGAAATGAAACAATGTTGACATTGCTGGAAGAATAAGCCAAGCTGTTCAGAAGAGTATTTTTAGGGGCTTTTCCCGCCAAACCTTGCCCTTGTATTTGTTGTTTTCCTTTGGCCTTTGTTTTTAATACGTGTTTGTCCAAAAAGAAACACAATACAATGCATCTTCAATAGAGGCGACACGGTGGTTGGCACGCTGGAGTCTGGACCTAGTGATCCAGGCGGTCATTGCGTTGAGTTCTTGGGCAAGACAATAAACCAATTTCGATATACTAAAAATTCAGCCTAAAGCAATAGACAAACCCTTCAAACTCTGTAGTTATTCCCCGGAGCCTCGCACTGAGGTCTATTGTTTTAGGCTGAATTTTAATATATCAAAATTGGTCTATTTCCTCTCACAATGCCTCCCTCCACCCGGCCGGGTGTAAAAATGAGTGTCGGTAATCTATTAGGAAAAATGATGGTGGTAACCCTGCGTTGGACGCACTTCCCATCCAGAGGGGGAGAGTAGCAAAACTCCTAGTTGCTTTATGCTACAGAAACAGGGATACTGTAAGCCTGTTGGTTCAGGCTCGCAAATTTAGCAAACAACTATATAACAGACTTTGACGATTTTTTTCCAACAAATTCAGGTTAAATATGATGCTTTACAATTTCCATAAATACACATACTCAAATTACCCTAAAAACGAAAAATTATCCATATAATGAAAAAAAGGAAGCAAAACTAAAATTACGACACAGCTTGAACGCTGAACCAGAGTTAAAAATTCAAGATGCAAACTTTTTGTATATTCGTGTCTAGGAGTGGTTTAAATGATTATATAGTCCCAATCTTTTCTTAGCAGCAAAGCCGCGTCATCAAGCTCAGTATACGTAAGCGGGCCGGGCATCCTCATCCAACAATGTCTGGTCATGGTGTGACCAAAGTTAACTTCCCTTCGCTATTCGATGTTAAAAAAAATAGCAAATGATTTCATGCTTTAGCGTGCATCTTCGAATTATGATGAACGTGGGAAGTTTAGAGAGTTATCAAGAAGCTTTTAAAGTGGTTCACGGCTGCGCCTTGATCGACCAGCTATTTCGCTTTTCCATTCCTTTCCTGTTACGCGCTTCCCGGCTTCGTGCTCTCCAAACTTCCCATGTGCATTATAACACGATGACGCACATTAAAG